CTAACCCAACCCTTTTCCTTATTACATTCATTTGGAAGTGTCTGACCTTTTATTTTTGATTCGGGATCTGTTCAATTGTCAAAATATATCTCTTTCTGCATTCTCTACACACTTAGGAAACAAAATAGCAGCCTCTGTTTCTGCAGAGCCTGACCTAGTGCTAGGAGGTCAAGAGTAAGCCATTCCCTGGTTTTATTTAACTGCTGCAATCACACTATTACCCCGTAGTAAGGCTGTGTCTACATTGCTTTTGAAAACCAGAATTTCAGGGCTGTTCAGGTGTTTTTCCATGCTCTACCAAGTTCTCCGTGCACCGAAATAATTCTGCCAGGAAAGTGACCTTCTCAGTAAGAAACTTGATCTTAGAGGTATCAAATGACCTGAAAAGATCTTTCAGCAGTTTGGTCAGGGTAACATTAATAACCTAGTCCACGGGAGAATATTATGTAACAAAGCCTGTGCGAATTTGATGAATGTGGACTGCAAAGAAACTGACATACCCCCAACACTGCTCACCAAGCAGCAAATGAATGAATTCCAACTGACTACGACTGCAGAACCAGGAGATGTCAGGTGGGCAGACTTCATGAACTTGCTCAAGAAGTTGCAATACTGTATTAGCACATCAAAAATGCTAACAGCATCTTCTCACCCTTGAACTGAAACATGTAAGAAATGTGTTATTATGCTTTTTTATAATACTCAAGTAGGGTACCACAGCAGCTGCAAGTACAGTACCATTAAAACATATCAAGGAATGTATACTCCAATACATATACATAGTACATCAAACTGAAAAATAACTACCGACTGTGCTTTGAAACAGTCTGAAAAAACTTAGATTTGATGTAGTTTACAAATCTGGAAAAAAGGAATTTTGTTTTACTATAATCAGCATTTTTATTTGAACATAAGTCTCACCTTCTAATTATATACTCATAAGTCACCCCAAAATCCCATGTATTTAGGAGTTGCAATGACCCATCATTACTTGCTCTAAGCTGATAAAAGGCTAATGGAATGCCAAGTCAGCAGTTCAACCAACACGAGCTATATGTTTCATAGTTAAGGCTGCTGTATGAGCAATGTCCTGTACAAAAATCTCCTGCATAAAATCGCTCGTGGAACACACCAGTTTCTAAAAATGAGGCTATGTTGTACAAATAACTTTAAGCCTAACGAAGAAAACTCTCTGTTGCTGGAACATTGAGCTTTAAAGAAAGAAAAAACTTCATGATCCATTAAAGCCTTGCATATTTAACTTTTATTCTCCTCTCAGCGTGGAAGAGGAAAACACTGATTTTTGTTGTGAGTGAGAATTTTTTTTAAACATTAATTGCTCTAAATATGTCAGCAGTGCAGGCTTGGTAGTCTTCAAAAAATATCTGGAAGCATCACAACCTATAGCATATTTTATAGGAGGAATAAACAGCCTATTTCGTCTAATGGAAAGCTACCACAAGGAAGAAAGACAGTTTTTGCTCTATCCCCACCTTATGGCTAGATAAAGAATTTTCGTATTACAGTATACGTATTTCTGAATCTTCTTCACTTACTGTATCACCATAGCCAGAGAATATTTACTATTTGTATTATGCAACTCAAGATTCTTTTTTTGCAATGATGCACTCCTCCACGTACAAGCACAGTGAAACTCTGACGCATAAATGCCCACTCGAGCACCTGTGTCGGTTTTCAGAATCAAACAGAATAGTGATTTTTGTACACAAGTTCATATATTCCTGTTGATTCCATTAGGATTTAAACAGCTAAATCTCTCCATAGATCTGATCTTCACAGATACACCATCTCTAATATTCCCACTTTTTTTCAGTAGTCTCAGACCTAAAAATCAGGTGATTTATACAACTCAAAATACTAAAAATTTACATGCCCTGCAAATTAAAACAGAAGTATGCACAAATCTAGTTTTAAAGCTTTCACAAGTATCTTCTCTTCTTTGCTTATGCTGCAAGCAAAATGTGACCATGAGAGCTAGAACAGTGCATACTCCTCACAAGACTTACTCAAGTTCACAAACACCAGATCCTCTTCAATAAGTCACCCCATACATGAGATAAAACAAAAGTAGCAGTAGCACCGTTCCAAAAAGGAAAATGCTCTCTTCTCTCATAGTCACACGGTGATCAATAAACAAAAAAGTGCCTTAATCACTTGTGATACCACTCACTGGCCCAGGAACTAACATTAGCTGCATGAAAAGTTGAAAAACCAAGAGCCACCAGTAGTACTTTTGCCAAATTCTTCTGTTTCTTCATTTTGACTCTTCCCTCTTTCATTGATGGTCATAGCAAAAGGGCAGGGTAGGATGTGAAACAGGAGAACATTGGGAAAGCTGCAAAGAGAGAGAGAATGAAAAAAATGGATAATGTCTTAGTGTGCCTTTAATTTTTTTAGGCCTTCTATTCTGCTTTCTTGAGGAAAAAGTCATAACTGTATTGCCTAAGCACCTCTCCTTCCCAAAATCTCTTGAATCTTACCTTTAAAACCAGAGAAAATTCAATAGTGAGTCAATAGCCTCAACAGTTTCTGAATGTTAAATTTCTCAAAGTTTCATGAAAACAGTTGAATAGAAGAGACACCTTATTAAGGTATCAGCATGACTCTCCTCTCAATAATCCTTTCTTTTTTCCTTCTAAAATCAGGAACTCAAAGAGAACCCACCTTCCCTAGAACTTCTACCACAGATCTAGTAAAAAAAAAAATTCTAGAACTACACACTTTTTCGTCATTAAATACAGATTCAATAACAGAAAATAGACTATTAATATATCCTCCAAGGTTATAGTAATTGAAAGTGTTCAAGAGTATTTAGACAATACTGCTGTAAGGAGTTTTGATTTTAAAAATCCAGTAAGGAATACTGGGTAGAAAAGAGACTCTGTGTATATACACGAATATAATTAACCCTATGGTGAATATTCAAGAAGATACTAGAGAAACATAATAGCATTGTGTATTTCTGAATGCTTAACCACACGACATCAACCACATGAATTTTCAGTAAGCTTTTATTTAAAGTTTAAGAATGAAACTTCAATACTTGCCTGCTTCAGCTATTATGAGATGTTCACGAAGTACTGGCAGTCTAGTGATAGGACACATTCTGACTCAAACTTCTCAGAGCTTATAAAAAAAAACCAAAAATCCTTCTCCTAATAAATAGTACCTTCTTAACCATGAATACAGGCCAAAACCACTGTATAAAATATTTTTAAAAAGTACAATAGTTGCTGGCTTTAACCCTTCCCCGCCTCTCTTCCCCAATAGTAACTGAGCATCCTTCTAGTACATAGAGAATGAAAATATTCCACCAAGCACAGAGTGGATCTTGCTCCTGGGCAACTCAGAAAAAGTTAAAGTGGACATCAAAACAAGTTCAAAAAGAAGCTACAGCACTCAAACAATTGCACAATGTGGAAAGGTATGTATACACAAGACTATAAGAAAGTATTTCAGGCAAAAATTAAGAGAAAATATTTCTAACAAAGGAAAATCTAGCACTACAATAGAATTGTTAAATCACCGTCAATAATCACAAAGAAAAATATAAACACAGTCAGATCTCCCTTATTCCTGAGAATGTACTTCAGATTATTAAATGCAAATATTCTCTACACATGCATGTTCTCAGCTTTCTTTGTGGACTCCAAGGCAGTAAGAGAAGAAAATGCAGAATAAGGAATCTAATCAACCTTACAAGAAGCAGGTTGAACTAAGCCCTCTGAATTAAGTAAAGCAGCAGAGTCATTCTTCCTTTCTGCATACTGTAAAAGAATAGCTCTTCACAGGTTGTACAGAATTTTAAAAGTACATGAACATGATATGAAATTTGAAGTTCTGGCACTGATCCAGTTTCCTCAAACTACAAAAATATTTATAAAATGCATCTCTTTTTAGCTGAGTTTCTAGAACATACTCAGTTACATGTTAAACAAAATTAGACTACTCAGTACATAATGTTTTCAAAATTCTTTATTTTGAAAATACCGTGCATATGAAGGATCAACTACCACATATCCCACAAAACTGTATTACCAGCTCAAAACGTGAGATTCAACTATATCTTCATCAAAATATTTATTAAACAAAGTGTTCAGCAATTGTTTATAAATATTAGCTCCAGAATAGAATACAATTTTAATTTAAGAAGGTATTTTTATCTAATGTACATTTCCAGACTTCTGCCCGGTTAGGATGACACTCAAAAGGGGGGAGGAAGTAGCCTGGCACCCATGCCAACTTATCTTTACTATTTGTACAGGGTCTAACTTCAAAAACATCACCTGTGCCAGATCTTATCTTTTCCATAACATCCGTCTATCCACACCAACTGAATTAGAGACCACCAACTTGTCTCATATACCATGTTAGACAATAAGCCAGCTTAACAGTTCAGAACATGATTTAGAAATACAAAATATGTATTCTTTTCCCAGCACACAGAAGTCTTAGCTTGCTTTTCAAAGTCATTTAAAAAATATGAGGACATTTATAAATAAATTCAAGCCAACATATTAAATATACTAGTTTCTACAGCGATTGTTTTGAAATCCAGGATTTTGTTTAGCTAGTAGATCTGCTTTGAACTGCATAATCTATAGTGGATTTAGTGAAACCTGCATTTTTATTACTCTCATCCTTTAAAAAAAGTTTCACACTTCTAACAATAAATGTCGTATCATATCTGAAAAGTGACTATGGGATAGGCATTCCTCCATTATTATGGAAGAAATAAGGTACATCAAGTCTTAAATGACAAGTGACACACAGGTTAAAGTTATGCATGAAGTGTACTAAAATACACACTGCAAGAATCTTCTAAGGCTTTTTTTCAGAGAAACAGTAAGATATTCAGAGTAAGGAGACAGACATCAATAAAACTACATACTTCCACAAGTGCAAAAGCTGGCTCACAGGATCTCACATTAGTAATAAAACACAGAAAAACATGCTTTGAAATTCCAGTGGTCTGTTTTCTAGCCTCTGCTTTTCTTTAAAATAACCTGCAAAAAGAAAACAAATATTTTTCATTGCTTCTATCACTACAACCCAGGCAGCAGTAAAAGATCCAAACAGAAAGGTTCACCTAGCCAAACAATCCATTTCCAAGAGTAAAAAGTCTAGCTGAAAGGTTAGAAGTAAAGCAAAAACATACAAAAAATGCTATACCAGAAAGTATCTTTTTTAAAAAAAGAAAATTCATAACCAAGAATTCTGTAAAGTAAAAAGCTTATTTTAAAAATGAATGCTGAGAAATGGCAATAGCACTCTCAAGCCCTCAGCAGACTCCTTGAAGCTCTTACCCTATTAGGCCTAGACAAAAGAAAATTATTTGCAATTCTACATCTACTATGTTTAATCTTTGTTTGCAATGCCTTATTTCTTTCTATATCAAGAGTGCCCAGATCCTTGGAAGGACATTTTTTAGTTTGGAGTTTAGGTTGAAAAATGAATTTTAAAGCCCAAGTGGGACCATTTAAGTGTTAACATTATTAAAATACAGGCAGTTTCTCCTTTCTTCTCATCTTAAAGAAAAATAAATAGAGCACAAAAATGTTCAAATAATGTTAAGATTGCAGTTAAAAAGAAATTACGAATGTGTAAGATTCCAACTGTAACATTCACTTGGCTACCCTATGCATCCTGTATATATTTCTGTTACTATAGTAATAGAAAGTATCAAACTAAGCATTTCATCAGAGGAAAAAAAAAATACTGAAGATAAACAGAAACCATAGGACCCCAATATCAGATAACACTGAGTTTTTGCTCTCCCAGCTTGCCCTGCAGCAGCAGGTGTCTGAACAGATAACTCAACAAATCAAAAGAGACCAAGTTCTTTCATGGAACCTAGGCAAAGCAGACATACCCTAGTGAGTAAAATGAGCTACAGAATACAAAAGGATTTCTGTCATGCTTTTACACTACTCTTAATTCTTTCTAGCGAGAGAAAGCTGCATAGCACCTTCCTTTTACCCTTATTTTGCATGTATACAAAACTTACCATGCTCTGTAACACAGAGGATTCCACCTTCACAGATATTCATACAGCAATTCTTGTGATGCCGAATTACCCAATTTTGTACAATCCACAATTTAACCCTCCCTTAATTCTTCCCTTGCCAGACAAAGTCACACAAAGTATCTGTTTGTTCAAGCAGTATCTACGTCAAACATTGTTCAGACTAAGCAGGTAAGAACTGAAGGTCTAAGAACAATATTTGAACCTCTTTGAGCTTTTTCTCTCTTGATTCCCTGAAGCTTCATTTATATCACTGAAGTTAAGACAGAACACTTCCTTGATATAGTATCATCTGAAATAAAGATCCCCCAAATTCAGAATTTGCTTCTGCTCCCTGGGCCTTCAGTCCACGGATGCTTGCTGGTAGACTGCTGCGTAGACTTACCCACATATTGAAACTATGAATTTAAACATGGAATATTGAAGAAAAGTAGGGCTATATTTAATAGGGCTAGAAGAGTTAATGTGATGTCTTGGTAACAGTGAGTTAAGTTATGCCAATAATGGATTAAAGAACATTATGTTTCCGCAGCTTTTGGATTATAAATAAAAACACTGCAACACAAACACAGAAAACTTTTTTATGTCATAATTGTCGTAATATTTATATTAAACAAAAAAGAAAAATGTTAAAAATGCTTTATTACCTTTGCTGCAGCTACAATGTGCTCAGGTTTAATTATTTTACTTTTGTTCTCAAAAGCATTTGTCCTGGCTTCTTCTGCTAGCCGATGGAGAAACAGTAAGAAGCTCAAATGCACCTTTAAAAGAGGAAAGAAAAAAAAAATCAAGAAAGACTCAGACTGTTCAAGTACAGCTTGTTTTTTTGGAGGTTCATTGTTTGAGACAGACGATTTACATTCTAGTCTGCTACCAAATTCCCGAAAGGTGTACTCAGGAAAACAAAATATCACTCAGTCAAGTCTTAATAAATTGCTGAGACATTCCTTACTGCAAGACTCTTGTAGAAATAGTCTACACTTACTATAATTGAATCATAACAGAAATGATCAAACAAACAACTGATCCAACAGAAATCAAATCTGATTTTTAATAGTTTTTTATAAAAAAAGTAAACATAAATATCAGAGAATAAGAAGGAACCATCGTGCTTACTATTAAATACAGTCAGCTTTTGGTGACCACAACAGACTTTTAATGACTAGCAAATTTATCCTTGCCTTATCATCAAATGGACCACAGACAAGTTCCCGTGCAAAGGAGCATTGACATTCATTTCTCCAGAACAAGTAATTCTCCACAGTCAGGAGGTTTCATCCATTTTCTTCCCAGCTCATCACTTACTTAATCTTTTTAAATGAAAAGAACTGGTAGAGCTGTCCGCATTCAATACAGAACGCTGCTCTGCTAGTGCAGAAGCAGCAAAACTTTCAGCAGGCAAGAAACTGCTCCAACTGGACTAAAAACTGCCAGCCAAAAGCACCCCTGTGTATTGAGGGACCTATAATACAAACCTCTAGCATTATACAGACATTATGTGAACTATTTTAATAGTTCAACCTGGAAATTAGTAATTGCAGCTTTTGTAAATTAAACTTTCAATCAATATTAACTTTCCTATATAAAGTGTACAAAAATACTTTTTCAATCAAGAGCTCAGAAAAATATTACCGAAATATATGAAAAATTTATTTATATGAATTAGGTGATATACTTATTCTGCCATACATGATCAGCAAAGCCTAGAAAGAGCTAACACAGAAAGTTACAAGTTAGAGTTTATAGGAAATACTTTGGCAGTGGGTTTGCAGCACAAAGAATCTGTTAGAGGACATGCATTTCAGTGTTCATGACAAGCAATTTAGTTTTTCTTTTTAATCTCCTGAACTAAATGAAACCAGCCTGCAATAGTTAAATTTACATAATATTAGGCACTGGTTGAAACATGTACTACACAAAAAGCAGAAGTTCTTGCAGATTCATTTAGCAACATACCAGAGCCATTTTAAAACAAGTCTTTAGCTATTCACACAGGAATGATCTCTGACAGAATCAAGCAGTGGCACTAAAATAGCATTCAAAATCAAAACTCTCATTATTTGACTTATCAACATGGAGGATAGATTTCTGGAAACAACCCGGGGGAGAAGAGTGAGGCGGAACAAAAGCTTCCGTACTTGCAAGTCCTCCTGCTGAGATAGCTAAGGCAAAATTGTTAATTTTAAAACTGCCTTTAAAACCTGCATCTTCTCTCAGAATCACTGTACCTTTATTTTCCTATTGTCAAAGTGAATTGCTGCATGTGGAGAAGCTTCCTCCGAACTCCTATAAACAGTCACATAACTAAAATCAGAACACTCCACAATAAAGTACACGTTAAATACTCCAGATTATTCAAGGCAATTGAGAAAGGCAAAGAAGACACAGAATGACTGAATATCATGAACGAGACAGTTACTGACAAGTAACTGAGTGATACCTCATTTGGTTAAAAACATCGCTTTACTACACATTAGATTGCTCTCCCTGTGCATAAAATTGAAAAACAGTTTTGGACGGCTCGTGAAAACCACCTTATACAGCAGAATGCTTATTTTCCCATAAAAGAAATGTTGTAAACTTTTAAAAATGCATGTAAAAACTCACATGAATGCTTGCAGAGCAACTTCCCCATACCTGTTCCAAAAGAACTAATGAACTCTAGGGACAAGAACCCTAATTTAGTTTTGCTGCCATAACTTCTAAACCATTCTTTAGACTGATAGTTTGCCTTCAGTGTACACTTATTCATCATTCTATGCCAACAATGAAGAAAAAAAAGGTCATTCAATGTGATAAAGCTTTTTCTGCAGTGTAATACAAACCTGCCCTTCTAGGATAAAACAAGCAGCTGAGTTCCTCCTTTTCTTCTACAATTTCTAGCTAGAACAAAGTTTGCAGCTTTTTCTTCTCACACCATTGTGTAGGGAGGGAATATCTGAACTTCAGTACTAAAACCTCTTCAGTATTTACCTCTTATTTTCAAAAAGGTAAAGATTTGCATTCTAAGAGCATTAAAAAAAAAATCTTAAACACTATTCCTATCTCTTCCCTCAAAGATAGGATCACACTCCTTTAAAAAAAACAGCTTCTTGAGAAAGTTTGATGAAATTAGTTAGCTACACTATGCACAGAGAAAGATGTTAACACATAGGAAATAGGTTCTAAAAAAGTTTCAAATTTCAGAAAGATGCTTGATCAAGGAATCCGATAAGTGAAAAAGAAACTTCATTCGAATATTTTAACAAAGTTGTATGAATTCTTATGTCTTTCCAAGTTATTATTAATGATCATGTAAGAAGACATTGGTTTATCAAGGAAAAATAATCGCTGAAGGTTAGGAAAACAAGTTGATCATGTCATAAGCCAAGTAGGCAGACCTCCTCACTGGACTGGCCAAGTACTACAGTAGATTTAAACATAAAGGAAGATAGCCCGAAAACTGAACTAGCCAATTCTTAAATTTCCCTGCAGAAGACAAAAGCCTTCTGCTCAAAACATATACAGTTTCTTCTTGTTAAGACAGCTACTAGAGAGATTTCTAAAATACGCCATATTGTCATTCTTAAAAGGTTTGTAGGGAATAACAGAGATACTAAAAAATATCCTCTCGAACCTGTACTTGTCTAACTGTAGGGCTAAAATTCTCCCTCCCTTTAAAAAGAAAAATAAAGTAAAACTTTAGCTGTGTGGATTGTTTATTCATAGAAATAAAGCTGGTAGCTACATCCCTAGTTGAAGATCATGGACATTCACCACCCCAGACAATCCTGCTTACAGATAAAATAAAAACACCAAGCCACCTAGTATTAAAGGCTATTTAATCTGACATCATCAAAAGAGACAATCTAAGCTTCCACCACATTATTAAAATTCATTCACATCTCATCCTTTGTCTTAGAATGAGTATTTGCATAGCTGTATTTTAATCTAGATCAAATTGTTGTTCACAGTTTCTGTCAATTCAGTTCACTGATTGCCTTTGCCCCCCACTGAACACTAGTGCCATGACAAAGAAGAGATAGGAGCCAATGGCCAAGATTTGGAGGGATGTCCCACTTACCCCTTTTCAGACAGCTACACTACCTTGAAGCCCAATTAACATGACCACAGAAACACAGACAAACTGTTACTAAAAACTACAAAAAATCTGATCAGTGATTGTGTAAGTCTGATTAGCTCACTACCGCATTCCACTGAGTAAGCTTTGAGTAGGTCTGAGCATGAGTAGCAAGGGGCCAGCAGGTCCTTAGTCCATAAAATACTCCAAAGATACCAAAAGAAGTAGGAAGATATCAAATTTTTATTAGATCAACTAGAAATATATGTACTGATTACGTTGAAATGTAAATCTTCTCATGTAATTACCATATTAATCTCACTGTATTTTTTAAACTTTTGTGCATTCACATTTAGCTTCATATATCCAGATATCAACCTTCAATATGCTGCAAGACATAACTTTTATACATATATGAAAAATGGAGCCGTATTACTATTCAGCATGCATTAATGCTTAGTGAATCACACACACTTGAAAACAAGAGGAATAACAGTCAAGGAAGTTAAGCCTATTAAGTCATTTCAAAGAGTATTTTTTAAAGCACAAGTATTTTATTTTCAACATGGCAGCTACCACAAGCTCTCTTGAGGTCAAGTTTCCTTTCTGTAGTCAAGTAACTTCTTGGTGAGATAAACCCTGTGCCACAATCCCAAGGTCTGAAGGAATCCAGCTTTGTTAGCCTCAGTTTTCTGTATCTTGTTTGATACACCTTTGTTATCCCCACATCTTTACAGCGAGTATTTTTAAACTGTGAACAGGATCCCAACATCTTCAGCTGATTACTAACAAGCCTTGTCACTCTTTAGTTTTGGACAGAGCTTACTTAGATAGCATTCTACAAAAATATGACCATTCAAGATGCCTTAACAGCTTAGCAACTCATTAATCACAAATCAGTTGACTGATACCTGTATACTCAAATTGCTCTGCACAAATAACAAACATCTGCATGCTACAGCCACATAGTCCGAATTTCCATTTTTCAGTCCGTCTACATCAAAATCTCTGAACAGCGTGTACATGCAGTAACACAACATTTATGCATCAACCTATCCCCGAATCCTCAAAGTCAGTGCCAGAAACCTGCAATACAGCAGCCACCAGCAAAGCAGAAAGCTGCAATCACTACTTACTAATACTTCATTAGACTAACAAATCGTCTATCTCCCCAGACACTTTGCCTCCCCTCTGCCTGTCGGTCACTGCAGAAACACCGTTACTAGTACCCTGGCATCCCATCACACCCAGCAACTCCAAAGCGCTGCAGAGCACTATCGGGTCCATGCCTTTCACTCGCTAAAACGTTCAGAGGCTAAATGT